GGCTGCAGGGACATGCATCTAGATTCCAAGTTCTGCCTAAACACCCCTGAATAGGGGTCTTCCAGCCTTTCCCACACTGACCTCCACTCATCGTGTTTCCAGTTCCCCCACTAAACCACTCTCTGTCGCTGCGGCTGGGGGAGTTTTGAAATAGGAGGACCAGGACTCTATGCTTAGGATTTGTGCACTTTTAGTACGTATATTATGCTTCATTGACAAGTTTTCCAGGAAGAATAAAAGAAGCATCAGGAGTTTAAGGGAAGGCGGGGTGTGGTGGCTCACATCTATAATCCTAGCACTCTAGGAGGCTGAGGTGGGAGGATTGCTTGAGGTCAGGAGTTCAAGACCAGCCTGAGAAAGAGTGAGACCCCATCTCTACTACAAATAGAAAAAATTATCCAGGCAACCAAAAATAGAAACAAAAAATTAGCTAGGCATGGCGGAGCATGCCTGTAGTCCCAGCTACTCGGGAGGCTGAGGCAGGAGAATCACTTGAGCCCAGGAGTTTGAGGTTGCTGTAAGCTAGGCTGACACCATGGCACTTTAGCATAGGTGACAGAGTGAGACTGTCTCAAAAAAAAATGAGTTTAAGGGGAAAAAAACTGTAAGCCCCTATATGTCACCAGATATAGAACAAGTTCCTCTTAACTTGTGTCTGTGTGAGGTGCCCCTTCTGTGGGCCACTGTGGACCCCTGTCCTACTCCAGCTTACCTGTCTCACCCATGAGACCCGTTCTGTCCAATACTAGCCTCTAGCTGCATGTGGGTATTAAATTTAAATTAATTAAAATTAAATGCAAAATTAAAAATTCAGTTCCTCAGTCACACTAGCCACATTTCACATGCTCAGTAGCCACATGGGCTAACGGCAACTGTACATTCCCATTGACACAGAACGTGCTATTGGACAGTGCTGCGCTAGACAGTAAGGTCTGGAAAGCAGAGACCTGTCTTTCTGGTCCAGCCTTGGATCCCTGGGTCCCAGCACACTTTAGGCCCAGCTCTGATGCTATCAATAAATATCAAGTGATTGAATGCATTCACACATTGCCACACACTACCCACGACCCAGAGATCACTCCAGTAGGCACTGGAGCTACTGCCCCCTACTTCTGCCCTTGCCTGCACACCATGGCTTCTGGCCAGGCTCTGACTGCAGCCCTGACCACAGGCTCATGGTTGCTTTCCTCCTTCCAAACCACTTCTGGGCTGTGATTGGCTCAGAGTCCTAGAGGCATTGTGAGTGTGTGTGCGCGAGTGTGAGAGTGTGTGTGTTGGGAGCAGGAGTAGAGAATGGCCTGGCAGAGTGAAGAGACCAGGGTTCCAGGTCTCAAGAAGCTCAAGTTCAGGCCTCTGGCAATGGCTGTTCCCATCTACGCAGCAGACAGACACCCTGGCTTTAATTTGAATTCTGGGCTGTGCGTCCTCCCAGCTCAGTGATTTTGGGCAAGATACTTAACCTCTGTGAACTCAATACATGCGTTGTTGCTTCATTGTAAAATATGGTCAATAATACCTACTTCTCACAGGTAGTGAGTGCATTAAAGAAGATGTCTGGGGCTCTGCCAATACTCAATTATTGCTTATTCCTTTCTCTACACAGAGGGCAGTAAAATCCCTTCCTCGAACATTATTCAGATTGCAGCTCTCAGACACCTGCATGGTCCCCACTTATCCTGCATAGGAGGCCAAAGGTAACTCCTGACAGCTCCTTTTGCCTTCAGGCCAGAGGCTTGTGATCAATTCCACTGCTCTTATCTCCAAAGGCACCTGACTCAGCTTCCTTCTGCCAGCCGTATAAGGTGGTTTGGCTTCCTCTCTCCACCTTCACATCACATTACATGCCCGAAATGCCCTTCCTGCCCCCTCTTTCCAAAACCCAGGCCCTGCCTTCCCAGATGCAGATTTTTTCATGAGACTCACTTCCTCTCTTAAGCCTGCTTGACTCAACCTTTCCAGTTTCAAGATTGCTAAACACTAAAAATATTTCATGCTTATTTCAGCCTTCATCCGCCCCCTTTCCTCCTCCTTTAGTGACTATGATGTAAGAATGTACCTGGCAAGTCTGCACCTGTGGGCATCTGTGTTCCCAGGTACCTGGTTGTACACATGAGTGTGTATGGAGCAGGAAACAAGAGCAGATGGTAACCAAGAAAAAAACAAGCTTGTGGTGAGGTGGGAGGGCTGGACCAGATCAGATATAGGACCTATTTGGTCACTTACTACATGGGTGGCCCCCAGCAAGTGACATAATCTTTCTGAGCCTCAGTTTCCTTGCATGTTTGTCATGAAGATCAGAAATAATAATAACAATTATTATTATTGCTATGATTACTATTTACTGAGCCCTTAGTATAGGCACTGTTCTAAGCACTTTACATAGATTCTTTTATTTAATCTTAACTTCAACCCTAGCAGCTAGATAATATTATTTTTCCTATGTTACTGATGAAGAAATTGAGACACAGGCCGGGTGCCATGGCTCACACCTGTAATCATAACACTTTGGGAGGTTGAGGCAAGAGGATCGCTTAATGTCAGAAGTTCAAGACCAGCCTTAGCAAGAGTGAGACCCTGTCTCTACTAAAAACAGAAAAATTTAGCCAGGTCTGGTGGCCGTACCTGTAGTCCTAGTTACTCTGGGGGCTGAGGCAGGAGGATCGCTTGAGCCCAGGAGTTTGAGGTTGCTGTGAGCTAGGCTGATGCCATGGTATACTAGCCCTGGCAACAGATAAAAGAAAAGGAATAGGAAAAGGAGAAGGGAAGGGAAAATAAAGAAGGAAGGAAGGAAGGTGAGGGAAGAAGAAAGGGATGGAGTGGGGAGGGAGAGAGGGAGGGAGGGAGGGAGGTAGTAAGAAAGGAAGAAGAAAAGAAATGAAATTGAGACACAGAGGAAACTCAACACAGAGGTTGAACAACTTGCCCCAGGTCACACAGCTAGTAAGTGGGAAAGCCAGGATTTGTATCCAGACAGCTGAGACTCAGAGTCCATGTTCTTTTTATTATTATTTATTTATTTATTTATTTTGAGACAGAGTCTCACTCTGTTGCCCAGGCTAGAGTGAGTGTTGTGGCGTCAGCCTAGCTCACAGCAACCTCAAACACCTGGGCTCAAGCAATCCATAACCAATAAGGAGTGTGGCTTTCTTCACTCTTTCTTCACTGAGACTACAGGTACACAAGGCCAGGAAAAGTGTCTCTTTTCTTTTGTAACTTGTTATAGAACCTAAGAAAGAACAGCGTATATACTGGGTACTTTACACACATTTCCAAGGGCTAAGAGAGGTGTAAAAGATATACAAATGTTTAAAGCAATACTGTCTTACCCAGGTGTGAGTTATGAACACACACATGCCACAAGAACACACACTATTCAAAAAGTCCTCTCTCTCTCTCTCTCTCTCTCTCACACACACACACACACACACACACACACACACACACGCATGCACGCTGGCCACCTTGAAAACCATGAAGTCTCTACCAGGAAACCTTCCTGAGCTGGTCCAGGCCATCTGAATCTCTTCCATCTCTGAATGCCAACAGCACTCACTGTTAGGCCCACTCAGGCCAGCTCTCACTATGTGGTATTTTGTTCATTCATTCAAATTACTACTGAATACCTACTGACAGCCAGGACCAGTTATCAGAGAGGAAAGATCGAAAAAATATGGTACCTGTCCTCCAGGAACTTTCAATCTGATAGGAGATGCTGGCACACAAACCAAGAGTTATAGTAGGTACAGGGAAAGAAGCTATCTTTGACAGAGCATGGGAAGGTGTATCAAATCAGACTGGGGCATTTTGGAGAACTTCCTGGAGGTGACACTTGAGTTAAATCTTAAAGATGAACAAGAATTACTGTGGCAAGGAGGAGTTTGAAGGAAGGAAAGTCAAGAAGAGGAAACAGGCTAATATGTTTAGGAAACTGCAAGAAGTTCTGTAGGCTGCAATGAAAAGTTTGAACAGGGTTAGGCAGGGCATACAGCCAGACAGTGGGCAGGACCCAAGTGCCAAAAGACTTAATGAAGTAAGGTGAGAAATTCAAATTCTGTCTTGAATAGGAGCCACTGAGAGCTTTTAGACAGAGATATGACATCAAATCTGCATTTTATTAAGATTGATTCAGCAGCACAGAGGATGCACTGATAATAGAGGAGAGAGGATGGAGACGGAGAACATTGAAAAGACTTTCAACAATCCAGGGAAGAAATGAGGAGCTTGAGGAGCTCCATTGAGGAAATGAGGAGCTCCACTTAGTGGCAGTGGGAATGAAGAGGGTAGTTGAGAGAGATTAAGAAGTGGGAAGGAAATAATGCCATTCACTACAATAGGAAACATAAAGGCCAGTGTTTAGACAGGATGGATAGGAGACAATGATACCTTTTGACTTTGGAGTTGGAGGTGTCTCTGGGACACCCATGTGATAGCCAACAGGCTTCTGAATATGTGTGTGCTTGTATATTATTTATTATTATTTACACTCGCAGGACACCTTGGCTGGAGATATAAATTTGGGTGTCATCAATTTACAGGTAGTAATTAAAACCACGAGTGTAGATGAAGTCACCCAGAGAAAGTGTGGTGCCAGAAAACTTGCGGCCCAGAGAGCTCTAGCGAGCTCCAACTCTTAAGTAGAAGGCTTAGGTTTTTAAACGTTCTCTCAGGAAGAGTGTGCAAAGTAAAAGGCGGTGAGGAAAAGGTCCTAGAGATCACCAACATTTAGAAGAGGAGGTAGAAGAGAGAGGCAGAGATGCAGGAGGAGAAGCCAGGGTGGAGATCTCAAGTATAAGGAAGTCAGTAGCATCAAATGCTGCAGAGAGCAGGGGAGATAAGGACAGGAAACTCTGTTAGATTGGACAACTAGTGGGGGGCCCGGTGAAGCCAGAATGAAGTCACTGGAGTAGTGAGGGTGTGGGTTTCCGGCCGTCGGAGAAACCTCTTCAACTAGCTTGCAGTTTGAGTTGCCAACTAGAACGACTCCCTACTCATTTCACACGCCAGCCGCCATAGTTGCGCGTGCGCACTCGTACACACAAGGGAGCTGACAGCTTCTTGCCGTTTCCGGAGCGCGAGCACAGAGGCCCCCGCGCACGCGCCTCCCGAGCTGGCCTCCCCCGCCGTGGGGGCCCTCCCCAGGCCTGCAGAGGGCGCTGCGCTTCGGTGAGCCGGGGCGTGGCGCCGCTCTAGCCAGCGCCCGGGCTCGGTGGCGGACGCCGCTGCTCCGCGTCCCCCGCGCCTCCTCCCAGTGCAGGTGGGTCCGCCCGAGGGGGGCGGGGGTGCCTGGGAGCCGTGGGGCGGGCTGGTAACGGCTGCCTCATGGGCGCGGGGTGGTCCCCATCGCCTAGGTCCCCGGATCGGGCTCCGGCCCCCACGGATCAGGCTATGGATAGGCCACGCGGGTGGAAGTCCCAGTCTGGGAGGTCGCCTCCTCCTGGACTTGCAAATACCTGTCCCCGGACCCCTTTACACCCCAGGGGTCTCCGCCCCGGGACACGTGCCGCTTCCTGGGCACAGCTTTGGGCGGAGCTAGTGGGGGCGGGGCTCCGTGATTGACACCTCTCTCCCCAGACTTCACAGGCTGCCACTGGACCCTTCCCCTGTTCTGAACCCTGAGCTGGCACGATGGTGAGAACCCTGAGCCCATTCCCTCATCTCTGCATGCACACGCCCTCGTCCCGAGTGGCCCTACTTCGGTTGCCCCTTATGAACCTGGGGCTCCGCAGTGGGGGGCTTTGCAAATCTACCCCTGCAAAACAACCTGCACTCTTCCAACCCGCTCATCCTTGTAGCACGGGCGCCTGAAGGTGAAGACATCAGAAGAGCAGGCGGAGGCCAAAAGGCTAGAGCGGGAGCAAAAGCTGAAACTATACCAGTCAGCCACCCAGGCCGTCTTCCAGAAGGTGGGGCCCTCAGAGGTAGCCTCCACCCCAGGTGGCACCCTTAGTATAGCACAGAGGCCAAGAGCAGGGCCCTAGAGTCAGACTGCCTGGATCCAAGTCTGGGTTCTAACTTTTGATAGCTGTGTGACCTTGGGCAAATTACTGAATCTCTTTGGGCCTCAGTTTGCTCACCTGTAAAATGGGACTAATGACTGTAACTACCGCATAAGACTGTTGTGAAGATTAAATGAGAATACCTGTAAAGCTGTAAAGCATTGTTCATAGTATGGGTTGTGTAGTATGGGATTCACAGAATATTGGATGGTTCTAAATGTATGTTACTTAGCCCTATGGTGGGAGAATGATATAATCTTTGACCCTTCTATCTTCTCAGCGCCAGGCTGGTGAGCTAGATGAGTCAGTGCTGGAACTGACAAGCCAGATTCTGGGAGCCAACCCTGATTTTGCCACCCTCTGGAACTGCCGACGAGAGGTGTTCCAACAGCTGGAGGCCCAGAAGTGTGTAGGGGTTTGGGGTCCCAGGAAGACTGCCCCTGCCTTGCCCGGGTCCAAAGGTGGAAGAGAAATGGGGCAGCCAGGGGCATAGACTGGGGGCAGTGGAGGGCTGTGTGCAGAAAGTTAGGGGTGAGCTAAGGTTGGGCATAGGAGGGCCCTGACTCACCTTCCCCTGTGGGTGCAGATCCCCCGAGGAGCTGGACATTCTGGTGAAAGCTGAACTGAGCTTCCTGGAGAGCTGCCTGCGGGTGAACCCTAAGTCCTATGGAACCTGGCACCACCGCTGCTGGCTGCTGGGCCGCCTGCCTGAGCCCAACTGGGCCCGGGAGCTGGAGCTGTGTGCCCGCTTCCTGGAGGTCGATGAGCGGAACTGTATGTGCCTGTGGATTCTGTCCACAGCACTCACCTGCCCCACATCCTGATACTGGGACCCCAATAAGGCCAGAGTGGGGAGGGATATCCAAGACGGGCCCACCGAGCTGGTGCCAAAAGGGATGATGGAGCCAAATGCATCCTCTATTGAGTGCTTCGAGGTTGTTTCTAGGGGATTCCCAAGGGAACTCTGGGGGTACCAGCCAGGTAGTTCTTCTTGATCTGCTTCTAAGATATGCTGTCACCTCTCCCCTTCAGTTCACTGCTGGGACTATCGACGGTTTGTGGCCGCACAGGCAGCTGTGCCCCCTGCAGAAGAGCTAGCGTTCACTGACAGCCTCATCACCCGAAACTTCTCCAACTACTCCTCCTGGCATTATCGCTCCTGCCTCTTGCCCCAGCTGCACCCTCAGCCAGACTCTGGACCACAGGGGCGCCTCCCTGAGGATGTGCTCCTCAAAGGTAAGCAGGGTGAGGGTGTTGGGGTGGACTCTGTAGCACCACCTTCCTGCCCTGATGCCTGGCCCAGCTCTGAGCCTGTCGCTTGGGTTTATTGAGCACCTACTTTGCATGAGACTCAGTCCCTAGCTGCAGGGAGCTCAAGTGTCTGATGGGGAAGATAAAACTGACATAGGCAGCCCCTGTGCAAGGCCAGCATATAAGTGAGACTGAGGGCTGGAGATACTCAAAGGAGAGTGTGGGGCGTTGGGGTGGCCAGAAGCCCACCAGCATCGTGACCACAGCCGATGCCTCCCACCTCCCGCAGAGCTGGAGCTGGTGCAGAATGCCTTCTTCACTGACCCCAATGATCAGAGTGCCTGGTTCTATCACCGCTGGCTTCTGGGCCGAGGTAAGCAGAGAGGGAAGAGGCTGAGTGTTTGGGGCTTAGGAGGAAGGCAAGAGGATTTAAGGAGACCTGAGGCTGTGTCTCCCTGCAGCTGACCCCCAGGATGCGCTGCACTGCCTGCATGTGAGCCGGGACGAGGCCTGTCTGACTGTCTCCTTCTCTCGGCCCCTTCTAGTGAGTGCTGCAGCTTTTGCTGGAGAGCATCGTGGGATTGTGGGATTGGTGGGGCTGACAGGTCTCTCTTTGTCCCTGTGCCAGGTGGGTTCAAGGACGAAGACCTTGCTACTCATGGTTGATGAGTCACCTCTGATTGTGGAGTGGAGGACCCCAGATGGCAGGAACCGGCCCAGTTATGTCTGGGTATCCCAGCATTTGTGGAGCAGAAGTGGGGGCTGGGCAGGGCTGGGTGAGACAGAAAAGTGGTGAGGCCGGGGCATTTCCTTGACCCAGTGCTCCCAGCTCTGTGACCTGCCTGCCACCTCCCTCAACGACCAGTTGCCACAACATACATTTCGTGTCATTTGGACAGCAGGCGATGCTGAGAAAGAGTGTGTGCTTTTTAAAGGTGATGCAACCTGCAGCCTCTGCCCCTTGCAGCAGCCCCATCCCTCTCTTCTTCTCGTGGCGTCCCCTCCAACCACTGTCTCTTTCCCTCAGGCCTCCAGGAAGGCTGGTGCCGTGACTCCACCACGGACGAGCAGCTGTTCAGGTGATGACGGGGAGGCACACAGACAAGGACGGGGGCTCTAGACTGAGCGTCAGCCAACTCGGGCAGGAGGACTGGGCTTTGGGGCATGGTCCCAGTCTACATCCTGGGGACAGTCAGTCCCCCAGGGCTGTGGGCATCACTGCCTCCCCATCCTGCCCACCCCCAGGTGTGAGCTGTCAGTGGAGAAGTCCACAGTGCTACAGTCTGAGCTTGAGTCCTGTAAGGAGCTGCAGGAACTGGAGCCTGAAAATAAATGTGAGGCCCATTCCCTGAGAACCTGTTCCCACAGCCCCGCTAAGCAGGCCCCTTTCCAGGGTGGCCCCTTGGAGAGAGCAGGAAGGGTGTCTAGGGGAGGATGCAGGAGAAAGCCTCGTCCTGCCCTCTCCTCAGGGTGCCTGCTCACCATCATCCTGCTGATGCGGGCGCTGGACCCCCTGCTGTACGAGAAGGAGACGCTGCAGTACTTCGAGACCCTCAAGGCAAGCTGGGCCTGCGGAACTGGCAGGGGAGGCCAGGGGGCAGGAGGAAGGCTGCTGACGTGCATGCCTGGCCCACCTCATCCCCTGCAGGCTGTGGACCCCATGCGGGCAGCCTACCTGGATGACCTGCGCAGCAAGTTCCTGCTGGAGAACAGCGTGCTCAAGATGGAGTATGCCGACGTGCGCGTGCTGCACCTGGCTCACAAGGTACGGGCTGCGGCCCCGCTGGCCGGCCTCCCCACATCTCTGGCTTTGCCTTCAGTCTTGGGGTCCTTCCCAGACCTTTCCTCCCAATCAAGATGGAATCCATCCCTCCCTGCAGCCTGCTTCCAGCCTTGCTTCCTGTCACTCAGCCCATCATTTTTCTTGTCCCTCAGTTTCAAATCTTGAGTCACTAGGGCCTCTCCTCTGCCCCTTCCCCTGGGCCAGTCACAGCTGCATTTTTCCTACAGAGTGATCCCTGTCCCCCTATGCATTCCCATGCCTCTCACCCTGGAGTGGGCACCGACACTCGAAGGCCAAATGGTGGCCAGGCGTGGTGGCTCAAGCGTGTAATCCTAACACTTTGGCAGGCCGAGCTGGGAGGATTGCTCAAGGTCAGGAGTTCAAAACCAGCCTGAGCAAGCGTGAGACCCCATCTCTACTAAAAATAGAAATAAATTAATTGACCAACTTAAAAAAAATTATATATATATATACACATACACAAAAAACCAGCTGGGCATGGTGGCACATGCCTATAGTTCCAGCTACTCGGGAGGCTGAGGCAGTAGGACCACTTGAGCTGAGGAGTTTGAGGTTGCTGTGAGCTAGGCTGACACCATGGCACTCACTCTAGCCTGGACAACAAAGTGAGACTCTGTCTCAAAAAAAAAAAAAAACACCAATGGTTTCCAGAGATTTGAAATAAGCTGTCCAGGCTCCATTTTTCCTCTGTCTCTAGTCCTTCCCAAGACATCAGTTTGATGACATCACTGTAGTCCACCCCCAGACTCAGCTTGTCTGCTCCCACCATGTCTTTGTTTACCCAACACCCTCCACTGTCCTCTGTACCGGCCGCACTCCAGGCCGCCTCCTCCCCGCCACCCCCACCCCCAGCACTCACTGTCTTTCCAATAACGAGTAGCAGGCACTGCCGTGGGCTGTAAGGGAAGCTTCCCACCTGCTCCTGTTCTCTCTTCAGCTCGGGTCCCAAGGGCCTATGTGGGGCACAGTAGGCAAGTACCTAATAAATGGTGGCTGAGGACCTTCTCCCAGGTCTCACTGGGTGGCCTGTCCCTTCCCCCACTCCAGGATCTGACAGTGCTTTGCCACCTTGAACAGCTGCTCTTGGTCACTCATCTTGACCTGTCACACAATCGTCTTCGAGCCCTGCCATCTGCTTTGGCCGCCTTGCGCTGCCTTGAGGTAAAGCACTCATTCCTCCATCACTGTCCTGGGTGGTGCTTTTCCCTTCCTCCACCTCAGAAATCTTCCCACCAACACAGAGATGTCCAGGACTTCCCAGCCCCTGCAGGGGACCGCTTGCCTTCCCCTCAGCATCACCCAGCCTGGCCCCATGAGCCCTTCTGTGCACTGTAAGCTGATCAGGCTGGGTTCCTCGGTTACTGTCCCATTCCCAGGCTGAAAGCCGCCTGTTCCCCAGGTGCTGCAGGCCAGCGATAATGCGATAGAGTCTCTGGACGGCGCCACCAACCTGCCCCGGCTGCAGGAGCTGCTACTGTGCAACAACCGTATCCTTCCTTTGGGGTGCCTTTCAGACAGCGGGCAGGGTGTAGGGCCGCCCTGGGGAGAGACAGCAAGCAGGTGGTATCACCCTGAGGTGGGGCTAGAGAGAGGGGCTCTGACAGTGTGAGCCGAAGGAAAACAATAGCCTGGAGCTGGCCAGGCGCGGTGGCTCACACCTATAATCCTTGTGCTCTGGGAGGCTGAGGCGGGAGGATCACTCAAGCTCAGGAATTTGAGACCAGTCTCTATAAGAGTGAGACTGTGTCTCTACTAAAAATAGAAAAAATTATCCAGGCATGGTGGCACTTGTCTATAGTCCCAGCTACTCAGGAGGTTGGGCCAGGAGGATCTCTTGACCCCAGGAGTTTGAGGTTGCAGTTAGCTATGATGACACTACTGCACTCTACCTGGGGCAACAGAGCAAGATCCTGTCTAAAAAATAATAATAACTTGGAGCTATATGGGGCTGTCAGTGACTTGTACTGGTGAAGATTTGCAAGTGTAAGTGACTTCTTCAAGCCAGAACTCATAAATGGTAGATGTTCTTGGGGACCATGTAGTATTTTAAAAATCAGGAAGTTTCATATTTGTAAAAAATCTAGAATTCTGATTCCTCTTTTAAAAATTGGAAGTTAGAGCAATCTTTCACCAGTATTTCCACTCGGCAGCCCTTGGCCACCACTGAATAGTGAATGCCACTATTGGCAGCTAGGTTTGGCTAAGCTAGGTTTCCACTTTGCCACAGTCTCCACCACTCCTCTGGTAGCACACATGGCCTGCTTCATGTGCTTCCGGCCTGGCCCCGTGGGCAGGTGTCTGCAGTCCCCTCCTGGAGCCCTACTCCCTCCAGGGAAGTGTATGAGATGCCCGTGAAACAGACTTCCAGGCAGCAGTCCTCAGCTCTTGAGCATGCGCATGAGCAGACAGATGGAGGGAAACTTACAAACTTTCCTTGACTCTTTTGCCCAAGGCCTTCAGCAGCCTGCAGTGCTGCAGCCTCTTGCCTCCTGCCCCAAACTGGTCCTCCTCAACCTGCAGGGCAACCCCCTGTGCCAAGCAGTGGGCATCTCGGAGCATCTGGCCGAACTGCTGCCGTCAGTTAGCAGCATCCTCACCTAAGAGGCCCTGCCTCCCACCCTTGCCCTTTAACTTATTGGGACTGAATAAAGGATGGAGAGGCCCCCTCAGGCCACCAAGCTGTTGTCGCCACCACCACTACACCACTCTCCCACTTTCCTATCATTGCTGCGTGTTTTGGGAAAAGAAAGGGAAAAGACTTGGGGTGTGCCAGCTCACCCTCTGCTTTCATTTAATGGTCTCCTTCCTGCTGTTCCCTGTCACGGAGAGCCAGAGCCTCAGTGTTCGGGGCAGAATTCAGGGCAAGGGCTGAAGTTGAGTTCATCTTCTGGTTTGGGGGTAGCACTGGGGCTAGGTTCAGGTTCCAAGCTGGGATAGGGTTTAGGATCAGGTTCTGGTTCAGGCTGAGCTACAAAGCCACTGTAAGTCTCTCCAGCTAGAAGGCTCATAAAAGTTTTTCCCATGACCTCTGCCCCTTCCGGATGTCCTCTCTGCCCTGGCCCTCGGCCTCCACAGCTGAGAAGGTTCAGGTGCTCCGTGTTCCCAGGGAGAATGGGCCAAGGCACCCCTGCCCCACCCTGTTATAACAGCAGTGTCAGTGCCCATGAATAGCATTCTGTGGTTGAAGAGCCCTTGAAATTGCTTGTTCCCATTTGGCCTCACAAGCTGTCAGGGATTACAGCCCATTGTACTGATGAGGGAACTGCTGCTAGGACTTGCCCAAGGTTACCTTAAGTGCTGGAACCAAAGTCATCTCTGCCCCTTGGTCTAGGACTCTAGACTCATGTTCTTGCTTCTGTACTGACAGGGAAAGGCTGGGCAGCGGCCTGGCCTCCTCCCAAAGGTACCAGCCGGGTATCTGCTCCCATGGTGCCCCCACCCCACCCCACACACCTTGTCCTGACTTTGAAAGTCCTGAGGCACCAGGCCTCCTGGAGAGAAGAAAGGGGAGCGGCTCAGGGTGTAGGACACTGAGTCAAACCTGGCTGGGTGGGGAGAGAAAGATTGATTAAAACAAGAGGGAGAGAGTGTGACAAAGGCATTTTCCTGCTTCTGTGGGATCTACCTGGGCCCACGTGTGCTCACGCGTATCCGGACAGTCAGGGCCCTGCCCCTTCCCGTATCCAAAGTGATGCACACCCAGCCCTTCAATCCTTCAATGAAGCCCTTTGGCTGACCTGCTTCATACCTGCTAGAATTTGATCCCTGCTGGTGTATTTGCTGAAGGTGTTGGAGGCGGGGCAGGACCCCCCCACACCCCTGCCCCAAGATTCTGGGGGTTGGAGCTGGACAGAAAAATGTAGTGTGGGTGTGGAGGGCTCCCTGCCAGGTCCTGGAGCCTCTCTGTCCCCACTCTGGGAGGCACTTCCCTGCCTGCGTCACCAAACAGCCTCTCCTAGAGTCTGCTTCCTTGTGCTTTCTTGCCAACTCTGTTTTCACTGTCTTCTGTTTGGTGGCCCATGGGATGGGATGGCCATGGATGGTGGCCCATGGACACCAGTGGGATGGAAGGGAGAGGCCTCTTGCTGATGGACCTAAGAACAGGACCCACGGAGCGTCCGCTGGAAGATGCCTAGCCTCCTCTGCTTGGGGTTGTCTTGGTGGCATCCCTGGCATTTCTCCCAGTGTCGGGTGGAGTTAGGGTGAACACTGGGGAGGTGGCTGTAGCCGGTTGGTCTGGATTCCCAGGAAGAATTCTAGGTTGGAGAAAAGGGGAATCCTCGACTCCAGCTGACCAGAAGCTCCTCTCACTGAGAGACGGGGATGCTCCGCAGCCTTGGGAGGGAGCCTCGGGTCCCACCTAAGCCTCCCCCATGTGTCCAGGCTGGGGGAGAAAACGAGATTGCACCACTCTGATCCCCCCAATCCCAAACTGGAGAGACACAGAAGCTGAGGGGTGGGGGGAGGCTCACTCATGCCAGGAGCTGTGGAGCAGCGGGAGGAAGCAGGGATAGAAGGGGGTGGGGGTCAGATCTGGAAGAGCCGGCAGGTCAGGGGCTGGCTGGTGGAGCCAGTCTGAGGGCCTGGCTGCTGATGTCACCAGTCTGCAGTCTGGAATCCCAGGACCTCCCTGGCAGGATAAGTTCCAGGTCCAGGCCCATGGGCCAGTTTCACGGGCGAGCCTGGCCTGGGCTGAGGGGAGGTGGCAGCAGGTGCCTGTGAGAGCAGAGGTAGGCAGCCTGAGCTCGAGCTCAGGGCCAGAAGGGGGGCCAGATGGGGGCGTGTGTGGAAGGGCCTCCCTGCCCCATTGTCCTTGGGCTTCTTCATCTGGGAAAAGGGGCTCCCCACAGGCCAGGTCTGGCAGGAATCAGCCTGGTGTGCGGTCCATCACACCCGTGGATCCCCCAAAGCCTTCATTTGCTCCCTAGCCTCAGCCCTGACAGACCCCACCTCTTGCCCAGCGTCAGCTCAGTTCCTAGAAAGGGGAAAGCAGGTGGGGCCGGTCCCCATTTCCCGCCCCTACCTCCAGAGACAGCTCCAGGAGGCCGGGCCTCTTCCTCCAGGGGATGGTGCAACCCGGCTGGCTTCCCCTTCACCCCTGCAGCTCGCCCCGCCCTCCCCCCTCATAAACCACTCACCAGGCCGGCCCCACACCTTCCACCCAGGCGGCGGCATCCAGCCCGTCCCTCCCGTCCCTCCCGTCCCATCAGTCCCGCCAGGACTCAGCGCTGCCGTCGCCAATACCGCTGCCAGGTGAGGGGCTCCCACCCACACCGCGGTGCTGAGCCCCGGGCCCTCGCCGTCCGGGGGCTGCGCGACAAGGTCCAGCCCCAGCAAGGTGGGGTGCACGCCGGCCGATCTGTCAGGCCAGCCCGGCTGCCCCGCACGCTGACTCCGCTTTCCTCCAGCCCAGCGCGGGCTCCCGGCACCTGCCGCGCCCCACCCCTGCCGGCGGCCCTGCATGGAGTTTACCCCATATGGGGATGCCAAGGACCCTTGGCCTTGGGCCACCTGCCTGTGTTGGGGGGGAGGCTTGAGGGGGAATCTCTGCTAAGAAGTGGGTCCTAGAGGCAGTCAGTGTCGTGGACCTCTAGACTGAGGAGCCGGCAGGTGGAGAGATGCTGGGGCACTCTGGTCTGTCTGTGCAGCTGGGTCTTGAGGCTGTGACAAGTGTCCATGCAGGAAACTGCATTTCCTGGGATGGATCCTTGAGTGGGTTTCTCCATTGGGCATCTGTTTTTTGGATGTGATTTGGGACATGTCTACGTGGGAGTGGGGGGAAAGCTCCTCTCGAAGTATGGAAGCTTCTCTGGGTGAGTCCGAATGGAGTCTTTGGAAAGGGTCTCTAGAGGCAGGGGCTGGGGGTGCGGAATCTCCCAGTCAAGGTCAGATTGTCTGGGTCAGGGTTTCTGAGTGGGCTGGCTGGGCCTCCCGGGTAAAGGAGCCTCCCTGCCTCTTCCTCACAGGGATGATGGACGGGCCTCGGTCAGACATGGGCCGCTGGGGCGGGAACCCCTTGCAGCCCCCTACCACGCCTTCTCCAGAGCCGGAGCCAGAGCCAGACAGGCGTTCTCACAGAAGAGGCTTCTGGGCTCGCTGCTGCAGCTGCTGCTCATGCCGAAATGCGGCGGATGATGACTGGGGGCCTGAACCCTCTGGCTCCAGGGGTCGAGGGTCCCGCTCTGGGGGTCGAAGAACTGACTCCCGGGGCTCAGACTCCCGCCGGCCTGTCTCCCGGGGCAGTGGTGTAAACGCAGCAGGAGATGGCACCATTCGAGGTGAGGCCATCCTGTCCACCTCAACTGAGAGCCGAAAAGCCTTAATGGGACCCGAGACTCATCCTGGCCTCTCTGGGTGGCTGGGAGGCTGATGACGAGGCCTGGGCTCCCCTTGGGGGCTCCACTGACCCAGAGCTGTGGCCTTGCAGAGGGCATGCTGGTGGTGGCCGGTGTGGATTTGCTGAGCTCACGCTCAGACCAGAACCGCCGGGAGCACCACACGGACGAGTTCGAGTACGACGAGCTGATTGTGCGCCGTGGGCAGCCTTTCCACATGGTCATCCTCCTGTCCCGGCCCTACGAGTCCTCGGATCGTATCACCCTTGAGCTGCTCATCGGTCAGTGGGGCCTGGATCGGGAAGGGCAAAGGCCCTAGATTTGGGGGGAAGGAGCTGGCATTAGGGTCAGAGAGGTCTTTAGGCTCCTCCCCTGTCCTACTCCTCACCTCTGTGGGATAAGGCAGGTGCAAGTGTGTGTGTGCCCCTAGGGGTGTGTCCCAGGAACAGTCCCAAGCTCACCCTCCGCAAGCCTCCAGGGGCATCTGTGTCAGAGTCCTTCTCCAGGGTCTGCCTCCGTGTTTCCTTCAGCATTGCTGCCTCAAGGTGTGTCCTTTCCAGTCTGCTCTTTCCCCAGGATGTAGCTGGATTTCTCCTGTGTCTCTCTCCCCCCACCCCCGCCCCCAACTCTGTCTCTGTCTCTGTATCTCTGTCCCCATGACCCAGGGCAGGTGCCTCCCTCACCGCGTTGCCTGGTGGCCGTTGACTTCCCAGGCTGGTGATTATGCCACTGCCGGGGGCAGGCGACTCCTCTTACCCTTTGATTAGGGCCTAACCTTGCCCACTTCAGCCTCTAATTTCCCAGGTATCCCCACCACCTCCACCAGGGACGCCCTGGGCTCTGGAAGCTGCAGCCACAGGGAGCAGGCAGGGTTGGCCTTCAGGATCTGGACTGCCATGCATATGGGGCTGGGGGCTCAGCAGCCATCCTGGATGGCTCTGCCCCTCCCACCAGGCACTGAGACAGGCAGGCAGGCAGAGTGTGACAATGGCCCTGGTCTCTCCTCCCTACCTCTGAGTTCAGCATCAGGGGAACAGGTTTGGGACGTTGGACTGGGGCCCTGCCCTGGCATGTGGGCAAGCATCGGGTGGGGACAGACCTGCTCTGAGGGCGACTGGCACAGAATAAGGTGATAGCCCAACTCAGGGACACAGACACGGTGACTGACACACACCTTGGGCGGGGCTGGGAGAAAGCAAAGCTCTATCCCCTCTCCTCAGGGAAGCCTCACCAGCTACTTGCCCATTCCCCCACTCTAGGAAACAACCCTGAGGTGGGCAAGGGCACGCACGTGATCATCCCTGTCGGCAAGGGGGGCAGTGGGGGCTGGAAGGCCCAGGTGA